TTGGAGTGGGTTTAGGGTTTCTGGGATAATGGTGTTGATGTGAGCCATGACCAGCCTTTCAAAGCACTTCATGGCTACAGACGTGAGTGCTATGGGTCGGTAGTCATTTAGGCAGGTTACCTTAGTGTTCTTGTGCACAAGGACTATGGTGGTCTGCTTGAAACATGTTGGTATTACAGACTCAGACAGGGAGAGGTTGAAAATGTTAGTGAAGACACTTGCCAGTTGGTCAGCGCATGCTCGGAGTATACGTCCTGGTAGTCCGTCTGGCCCTGCGGCTTTGTGAATGTTGACCTGTTTAAAGGTCTTACTCACATCGGCTATGGAGAGGTTGATCACACAGTCGCCCGGAACAGCTGACGCTCGTTTCAGTGTTACTTGGCTCGAAGCGAGCATAGAAGTAATTTAGCTCGTCTGGTAGGCTCGTGTCACTGGGCAGCTCGCTGCTGTGCTTCCCTTTGTAGTCTGTAATAGTTTGCAAGCCCTGCCACATCCAACGAGCGTCGGAGCCGGTGTAGTACGATTCGATCTTAGTCCTGTATTGACGCTTTGCCTGTTTGATGGTTCTTCGAAGGGCATAACAGGATTTCTTATAAGCTTCCGGGTTAGAGTCTCGCTCCTTGAAAGCGGCAGCTCTACCCTTTAGATCAGCGCGGATGTTGCCTGTAATCCATGGCTTCTGGTTGGGGTATGTACATACAGTCACTGTGGGGACGACGTCATCGATGCACTTATTGATGAAGCCAGTGACTGATGTGGTGTACTCCTCAATGCCATCGGAAGAATCCCAGAACATATTCCAGTCTGTGCTAGCAAAACAGTCCTGTAGCTTAGCATCTGCTTCATCTGACCACTTTTTATTGACCGAGTCACTGGTGCTTCCTGCTTTAGTTTTTGCTTGTAAGCAGGAATCAGGAGGATAGAATTATGGTCAGATTTGCCAAATGGAGGGCGAGGGAGAGCTTTGTACGCGTCTCTGTGTGTGGAGTAAAGGTGATCTAGAGTTTCTTTCCCTCTGGTTGCACATTTAACATGCTGGTAGAAATGAGGTAAAACGGATTTAAGTTTCCCTGCATTAAAGTCCCCGGCCACTAGGAGCGCCGCCTCTGGATGAGCGTTTTCCTATTTGCTTATGGCCGTATACAGTTCATTGAGTGTGGTCTTAGTGCCATTATTGGTTTGTGGTGGTAAATAGACAGCTACGAAGAATATAGATGAAAACTCTCTTGGTAGATAGTGTGTTCTACAGCTTATCATGAGATACTCTACCTCAGGCGAGCAAAACCTCAAGACTTCCTTAGATATTGTGCGCCAGCTGTTGTTTACAAATATACATAGACCGCCACCCCTTGTCTTACCAGAGGCTGCTGTTCTGTCCTGCCTATACAGTGTATAACCCGCCAACTGTATGTTCTTCATGTCTTCGTTCAGCCACGACTCTGTGAAACATAAGATATTACAGTTTTAATGTCCCGTTGGTAGGATATTCGTGCCTGTAGTTTGTCCACTTTATTATCAATGTAAATTGGCCAATAGTATCAATGGCAAAGGCAGATTAGCCACTCGTCGCCGGCTCCTTACCATGCACCTGCACCCTTATCTCCTTCCACGATATGTCATTTTCTTTCTACTGCGAATGACTGGGATGAGGGCCCTGTCGGGTGTCTGGAGGAAATCTCTCTCGTCCAAATCATTAAAGACAAATTATTTGTCCAGTTCAAGGTGAGTAATCGCTGTTCTGATATCCAGAAGCTCTTTTCGGTCATAAGAGACGGTAGTGGCAACATTATGTACAACATAAGTTACAAACAATGCGAAAAAACACTCAAAATAGCACGGTTGGTTAAGAGTCCACAAAATGGCAGCCATCCCCTCTGGCACCTGGTATTCCTCCGGTAAATCCACCTGAGTTGCGTGGTCCAGACTTTCCACCATAGTGGTGTTGACAGACACCGCGAGACACCTCCTCTGACACTCCTGCGACCAACCCAGCAGTCTCTTCTCAGACCAGGAAATAACAGGGTTATGCCAACTCAACCAGGGGAGACCTAAAACAACGGGGTGCGGGGGTGTCTATAATCAAAAAGGTGATCTGTTCTAAATGAGTGTCATGGGTCAGCAGAGAAACGTGAACAGTGATGTGATGTATGAGCCCCGCCCCTATTGGACGATTATCCAGGGCTCGAACAGGAATGGGTGACTGTAGGGAACCAAAGGAATGCGTAATGTAGTGGCCAGTGCGCTATCTAAAAGATTCCCGGCAGCTCCGGAATCAATCGGAGCTAATGGGAGTGAGGGGCTAGTGTATTCAGGGAATTTAATGGAAAACACACTGGTTGAGCTGACAGAAAAGGAGAGGAGATCTTGCATCCTACCTGGGTTGGAGCAGGAGAATTCCCTGGCTTGTCACCTCCTCGCCTATTAGTGGATAGAGGGCAGGTCGGGGAGAAATGACCCCTTTCTCCACAATAGGAGCCCAGATTCCTCCTTCTCCTACACTCTGCCTCGGGCAAACGTGCAGAGCCCACCTCCATCGGCTCTGGCCACGGAGCAGGTGTAGCAATGGGCTCCGGATTCCGCGCAGGTCTTAGTCGGGACCGCAGGAGGTTGTCCAACCGGATCGCCATGCTGATGAGCTGGTTGAGTGACAGGTTGTTATCACAGCAGGCTAACTCCCTCTGTACCTCCTCCTGCAATCCGCTGAGGAAAACGGTGACCAGAGCCGACTAATTCCATCTGGTGGAGGCCGCAATGGTCCGGAACTCCAGGGCGAACTCCGAGGCGGTCCTAGATCCCTGGTGTAGTTAGAGTAGATGCTCACCCCCCTCTCGGCCCTCCACAAGATGATCAAACACCGAGCGGAAGAGGAGGGTGAAGCGCTCGTATGACTCGTCCTTGGGTCTGCCCGTTTCCCAGACCGCGGCACCCCAGTCCAGGGCCTTTCCGGTCAGTGCCGAGATGACTGTGGCAACCCTGTCTCTCCCGGAGACAGCCTCGGTGTAGCGAGTGAGGTACAGGTTGCATTGCAGAAGGAATCCTTTGCATCTCGCTGGCGCGCCATCGAAGAGCTCTGGGAGGGACAGGGGTATTCCGCGGACCGGCTCAGATGGGACGGAGACAGGTAGTGGTGGTGTGGGGGCTGGTGCCAGAACCGGTGCTGGAGACTGGAGGGACTGCACATTCCTCTCCAAACGCAAGATGGTTGCCAGCACGAGTCTGGAGAGACAGTCCTCGTGATGCTGGACTGTCTCTACGATGGTCGCCAGCTCTGCCTTTCCCGCTGTCTCCATTTTGCTGGGTCGATTATTCTGTCACATTGTATAATGATTAGAAGACAGGCGCAGGGATACGTATAACAATTTTTTAATACTCCACCCAACACAAGGTACGTCATGAAAAACGACGGGGACGAAGAACAAAACAAACATGCATATATACAGTGCTATGAAAAAGTATTTGCCCCCTTTCTAATTTTCTCTACTTTTGCATATTTGTGATACTGAATGTTATCAGATCTTCAACCAAAACCTAATATTAGATAAAGGGAACATAAGTGAACAAATAACACAACAATTACACATTTATTTTATTTATTTCATAAACAAAGTTATGCAACACCCAATTCCCCTGTGTGAAAAAGTAATTGCCCCCTTACACTCAATAACTGGTTGTGCCACCTTTAGCTGCAATGACTCCAACCAAATGCTTCCTGTAGTTGTTGATCAGTCTCTCACATCGCTTTGGAGGAATTTTGGCCCACTCTTCCATGCAGAACTGCTTTAACTCAGTGACGTGTGGGTTTTCAAGCATGAACTGCTCGTTTCAAGTCCTGCCACAACGTCTCAATTGGGATTAGGTCTGGACTTTGACTAGGCCATTCCAAAACTTCCAATTTGTTGCTTTTTAGCAATTTTCATGTAGACTTGATTGTGTGTTTTGGATCATTGTCTTGCTGCATGACCCAGATGCGCTTCAGCTTCAGCTCACAGACGGATGGCATGACATTCTCCTGTAGAATTCTCTGATACAGAGCAGAATTCATGGTTCCTTCTATTAAGGCTAGTCGTCCAGGTCCTGAGGCAGCAAAGCATTCCCAAACCATCACACCACCACCACCGTGCTTGACCTTTGGTATGATGTTCTTACTGTGGAATGCAGTGTTTAGTTTTCGCCAGGCATAATGGGACCCATCTCGTCCAAAAAGTTGACTCAAGTTTGCCAAAAAACACCTGGAGGATCATCAAGACTCTTGGAAGAACGTTCTATGGACAGATGATTCAAAAGTATAACTTTTAGGATGACATGGTTCCAGTAATGCCTGGCGAAAACCAAACACTGCATTCCACAGTAAGAACATCATACCAAAGGTCAAGCATGGTGGTGGTGGTGTGATGGTTTGGGGAAAACCATATGTTGTTTCTTAGTCTACGTCGATATTCCTTCTTAATTTGCTCGATAACATTATGGAAAAAGGGGTTATTGGATAAATGTGGCAACTCCTCTCTTGCTGCACCCCAAAAATGTTGGGCTAGATTTCAGGCCTTGTGGGCGGGTTTTGAGAGGTAATTGAACGAACATATTTTTTGGCAACCCTGCCAACAGCCTTAACATTTCAATGAAGAAGAAGAAGACGCTGGTTGTTAAATTGTGGTTTAAAGACGTCTAGGTTGTCCGATACGGAGTGTAAGGGCTATAAAAAATATGTTAGGTATGATGTCAAAGGGCGACATACTCTCGCATAGCGAAACAGTCACCAACAAAATGATTGCAGTGGAAAGCATTACAGGTGAGAACTTCGGCTAGCTAGCTAAGTTAGCTGCCAGCCAGTGGGTGCATTGCAAGTTTTGATCTGTAATTGGGATATCAATGGGTCGTCTTTGTCTGTTACAGAAGCTGTCGAGGCCGTTCTTTCATACACAAAGGGTGCAGAGGAGCTGCTGAAACGAAACTAGGTGCACCCTGACGTCATATTCAAGTACCTGGCGAAGGAGCGGGTGGTGATGCCCCCCAACAGCAAGAAAAACCAGGTAAAGAAGCGGACTCTAGAGTTCTGGTCTACGGGGAAGGTACAGTATAGATACAGCCAGTCAACATCTCACCTCAGATTATTTTTGCTCTGTTCCTTAGAGGCTGAATTTGGCAATAACATATTAACCTGCGTTTGCCTCTTGCTAAATGTAGGGTGTCCCATCAAAAACGCATATTTTGACCAATGGGTAAAATAATATGTTAATTGTGTAGATAATCCTCTAAGAAAACCAATGCTCCAAACCATGTATCTATTGTAAGGTTCTGTATTTATTTTCTTAGTCAACCTTGTGTTCTTGAACGTAGCCCTGTCTTTCATTTTTGTTTTTACTCACCTGGTCTCATCAGCTCAGTTCATTCTGTTTGTGCCTTGTGAGGTATTGTTCGTTTTTGATTCTACTAAGCCTTTTCCTAGCTCGTTTGTGAGAACCAGTTATAGCCTTCAGTCCTAGTTTTGATTCACCTGCCTGTTTGCCTACCGGTGTATGACCATTGCCTGCTTGTGACCACGATTCCTGCCTTCTGTGAAGGCGAAATAAACACCTGCCGCGCTCTACATGTGAATCTACACCTTTTTCTCCCTGAGTATTCATTACAGAATACCTCACCTAAAAACTGAATGGATTCAGCGGAGCTACAGCGGCGCATAACCCAGCAAGAGGAGCGTATGGAGGAAATCTGCCATTTTCTCCGCCAGCCTATCCCTACTCCTCCGATGCCAGGTATCGTAACCCGATCACTCTCCTTCCGGTCGTCCTATAGGAGACCTCCTCATAGAACTTCAACGAGGACGCAATTCAGCTGCTGAGTATGCCCTTGAGTTCCGCACCATGGCTGCAGGGAGTGGATGGAGTGAGGCTGCTTTACTTACCGTCTACCGAAGAGGGCTCAACAGGGAACTTCAGGCAGAGCTACACTGTAGATGTGAACTTCAGGATTTAAATCAATACATTCGTACGTCCATCTCCATCGACCACCTCATCGCCACCCAGGAACCCGAAAACCTTCTCTTTCCATGATTCCGTCATCCCGTCCGAGTCTTCCAGATCCCATGCAGTTGGGCCATGCTCCTCTTCCGTGTATCGAACGCCAAAGGCGGATCCAAGAAGGGCTCTGCCTATACTGTGGAGGGAAAGATCATCTACTCAGCCATTGCCCTGTTCGCCCCCCATGGAGAGATGAGAAGGGTCCCTCCGCTGCCATGCAGGTAGGCGTGTCCTTATTTCTAAATATCTCCCAGAAGCAATTCTCCATCCCAGTATTGATAACCATGAAGGGGGTTACTAAGTACGTAGAGGGCTTGATAGATTCGGGAGCAGCAGGTAATTTTATCGTCACCCAGCTAGTACAAGAGCTTGACATTGATCTAACACCTGTCACCCCTCCCTAACAGATTAACACCCTGGACGGGCAACCATTGGGCTCGGGCTTCATTACGCACCTGACACAGAGCGTCACCCTCCAGATTGGAGTCTTCGACACCAAAACCATTTAACTCATGGAACTCTCATCCCCCAAACAGCCACTCATCCTCGGACACCCCTGGCTTTGTCATCACGACCCTGCCATCTCGTGGAAACAAGTGAAACTACTGTCCTGGTCTTCTACCTGCTTCACCAGTTGTCTCAGCCTACCCTGCAGAGCCACCACCATTGAGGACTCTGCCTCTGCAGTGCCACCCACCATACCATCTGAATACGCCCAGTACAGTAATGTCTTCAGCAAAATCAAGGCCTCCACTCTGCCACCACATCGCCCAGGGGACTGTGCTATTGACTTACTCCCTGGATTGTCCCCACCGAAGGGCCGTGTTTACCCCCTATCTATCCCGGAAAATGAGGCAATGGAGAAATACATTGAGGAAGCACTCAAACTGTTTAATTTGTCCTTCTTCTTCCCCGGCTGCGTCCAGCTTCTTCTTCGTTGGGAAAAAAGGACGGTGGTCTCCGTCCATGTATTGATTACTGTTCCCTGAATGACATCACGGTCAATAACCGTTTCCCTCTTCCTCTGATCCCAGCGACCCTTGAACAAGTGGGCCGCGCCAACATCTATACAAAACTCGACCTGCGAAGTGCATATAACATTGTCCGTATACATGAAGGCGACGAATGGAAGACGGCCTTTATCACCACATGAGGACACTACGAATACCTGGTCATGTCCTACGGCCCCCCGCTGTCTTCCAACCCTTTATGAACAAGGTTTTCCAGGATATGATCAACCGCTTTCTCATCGTCTACATTGATGACATCCTGATCTACTCCCACTCCCTGAAGGAACACATACAGCATGTACAAAGGGATCTTCAACGGCTCCTTGACCATAACCTTTATGTGAAGACTGAAAAGAGCACCTTCCATGTAACCTCGGTAAACTTCCTCGGTTTCGTACTGACACCTGGAGGGGTCAGCATGGATGACAACAAAGTCACCGCCATCAGTAACCGGCCCAAACCCACCACCATTAAGGAACTCCTTTTCATTGGGTTCTCCAACTTCTGTCGCCGGTTAATTCTGAACTTCAGTTCTACTGCCGCTCCCCTCACTGCCCTTACCAGCCAAAAGACCCGGACCCTTCAATGGTCTGATACCGCCCTGACTGCTTTCAACAACTTGAAACGTCTCTTCACCTCAGCTCCTGTCCTTCGCCAACCTGATCCGACCCTTCTTTTCACCATGGAGGTGGATGCCTCTGAAGTAGGTGTAGGAGCTACAGTGAGGGACAAAAGTATTTGATCCCCTGCTGATTTTGTACGTTTGCCCACTGACAAAGAAATGATCAGTCTATAATTTTAATGGTAGGTTTATTTGAACAGTGAGAGACAGAATAACAACAAAAAAATCCAGAAAAACGCATGTCAAAAATGTTATAAATTGAGAGGGAAATAAGTATTTGACCCCCTCTCAATCAGAAAGATTTCTGGCTCCCAGGTGTCTTTTTTTACAGGTAACGAGCTGAGATTAGGAGCACACTTAAAGGGAATGCTCCTAATCTCAGTTTGTTACCTGTATAAAAGACACCTGTCCACAGAAGCAATCAATCAATCAGATTCCAAACTCTCCACCATGGCCAAGACCAAAGAGCTCTCCAAGGATGTCAAGGACAAGATTGTAGACCTACACAAGGCAGGAATGGGCTACAAGACCATCGCCAAGCAGCTTGGTGAGAAGGTGACAACAGTTGGTGCAATTATTTGCAAATGGAAGAAACACAAAAGAACTGTCAATCTCCCTCGGCCTGGGGCTCCATGCAATATCTCACCTCGTGGAGTTGCAATGATCATGAGAACGGTGAGGAATCAGCCCAGAACTACACGGGAGGATCTTGTCAATGATCTCAAGGCAGCTGGGACCATAGTCACCAAGAAAAAAATTGGTAACACACTACGCCGTAAAGGACTGAAATCCTGCAGCGCCCGCAAGGTCCCCCTGCTAAAGAAAGCACATATACAGGCCCATCTGAAGTTTGCCAATGAACATCTGAATGATTCAGAGGAGAACTGGGTGAAAGTGTTGTGGTCAGATGAGACCAAAATCGAGCTCTTTGGCATCAGCTCAACTCGCCGTGTTTGGAGGAGGAGGAATGCTGCCTATGACCCCAAGAATACCATCCCCACCGTCAAACATGGAGGTGGAAACATTATGCTTTGGGGGTGTTTTTCTGCTAAGGGGACAGGACAACTTCACCGCATCAAAGGGACGATGGACGGGGCCATGTACCGTCAAATCTTGGGTGAGAACCTCCTTCCCTCAGCCAGGGCATTGAAAATGGGTCATGCATGGGTATTCCAGCATGACAATGACCCAAAACACACGGCCAAGGCAACAAAGGAGTGTCTCAAGAAGAAGCACATTAAGGTCCTGGAGTGGCCTAGCCAGTCTCCAGACCTTAATCCCATAGAAAATCTGTGGAGGGAGCTGAAGGTTCGAGTTGTCAAACGTCAGCCTCGAAACCTTAATGACTTGGAGAAGATCTGCAAAGAGAAGTGGGACAAAATCCCTCCTGAGATGTGTGAAAACCTGGTGGCCAACTACAAGAAACGTCTGACCTCTGTGATTGCCACCAAGGGTTTTGCCACCAAGTACTAAGTCATGTTTTGCAGAGGGGTCAAATACTTATTTCCCTCATTAAAATGTACATCAATTTATAACATTTTTGACATGCGTTTTTCTGGATTTTGTTGTTGTTTTTCTGTCTCTCACTGTTCAAATAAACCTACCATTAAAATTATAGACTGATCATGTCTTTGTCAGTGGGCAAACATACAAAATCAGCAGGGGATCAAATACTTTTTTCCCTCACTGTATACTCTCTTAGCGGGTGGGAACACCTCCAAAATCACATCCCTGTGCCTTCTTCTCCAGGAAGTTATCCTCCGCTAAGAGGAATTATGATGTAGGGAACAGAGAACTCCTCGCCATCAAGCTGGTCCTCGAGGAGTGGCGCCACTGGTTGGAGGGCGCACAACATCCCATTCTCGTCCTAACAGATCATCGTAATCTGGAATATATCAGAGGGGCCAAGAGGTTAAACTCCAGACAAGGCCGCTGGGCTCTCTTCTTCCCACGCTTCCATTTTCATGTTACTTACATCCCTGGAAAGAAAAACGTAAAAGCTGATGCTCTCTCCCGCCAGTTTGACCTTCCAACCAGTAACTCAGACCCTACACCCATTTTTCCTTCCTCTTGCATTATGGGACCGGTACTATGGGAGGTTCACTCTGCCATACAAGAAGCCCTAACCTCAGACCCGGCTCCTCCTGAGACACCAGCTGGGAAGAGTTACGTACCAGCAGCTGTTAGACACAAACTGATGCAATGGTGTCACACGTCCTTGGGGTCAGGACATCCAGGCAATTCACGAACCACCGAACTTCTAGCCCGTAAGTTCTGGTGGTCCTCACTGGCATCCGACGTAAGGGATTACGTACTCTCCTGTCCAGTCTGTTCCCAAACCAAAAGCCCTCGTCATCACCCTTCCGGTAAGCTTCAACCTTTGCCAATCCCTCACAGACCCTAGTCCCACATAGCTGTTGACTTCATCACAGACCTTCCTGAATCCTCTGGTAACACCACCATCCTTGTCATAGTAGACCGTTTTTCAAAAATGTGTCGTCTGGTTCCTCTTCCTCATATACCTAACGCCATGGAATTGACTGAGTGTATGTTCCAGCAGGTGTTCCGTCTGTATGGGATTCCGGAGGACATTGTCTCTGACCGTGGGCCCCAGTTTGTCTCCCTGGTGTGGCGAGCCTTCTGTGACCCTTGGGGTCGCCCTCAGCCTCTCCTCCGGGTACCATCCCCAGACCAACGGGCAGACGGAACGCCTGAACCAAGAAATAGGGATGTACCTCCGCCAACAATGTTCTGCCTCGCCACACGACTGTAGTCGGTTTATGGCCTGGGCCAAATACGCTCAGAACTCATTCATGCATTCATCCCTCCGCCTTACTCCGTTTCAGTGTGTACTTGGTTACCAATCCCCCATGTTTCCCTGGGAGGCGGAGCCTGGTACTGTCCCAGTTGTCGACGACTGGTTTTGGCCTTTTTTTTGTTCTTTTTTTTTGTTGTCATTTAGCAGACGCTCTTATCCAGAGCGACTTACAGTTAGTGAGTGCATACATGAGAATGTTTTTTTTTTTTTTTTTTTTTTTTTTACACTGGCCCCCAGTGGGAATCGAACACACAACCCTGGCGTTGCAAACGCCATGCTCTACCAACTGAGCTACATCCCTGCCGGCCATTCCCTCCCCTACACTGGACGACGCTGGGCCAATTGTACGCCGCCTCATGGGTCATAGTGAGTGGGTATGGGAGACCGCTCACCGGCATCTGCAGGAAGCCTCTAATACCCAGAAACGCTTTTCCGACAGACGCCGCCGACCTACGCCACTCTTTCACCCCGGACAGCGTGTGTGGCTCTCTACCAGAGACATCCGGCTCCGCCTCCCCTGCAAAGAGTTCTGTCCTCGCTTCATTGGTCGCTTCAAGATAACCCATCGCATCAACCCTGTCATGTACCGCCTCCAGTTACCCCGTCAGTATAAAATCTCCTCGTCCTTCCATGTGTCTCTGTTAAAACCGGTCACCTACAGTCCTCTTCATCCTCCAGTCTCAACCCGCAGTGCGCCCCCACCGTTGGAGGTTGGAGGGGAACCTGCCTACGCCATTCAGGCCATCCTTGATTCCAAACGCCTGAGAGGTCGCATCCACTATCTAGTGGACTGGGAAGGTTATGGGCCTGAAGACCGGTCCTGGGTCCTCAACTAGGACCTCCTCGACCCAGAGATGATTCAGGCATTCCACCGTGATCGTCCCGCTCCCCGACCTCGGGGTCGACCCCCAAACAGACCCACTGGACATCAGCCTCGACGCAGAACGTCGGGTCAGTCCACGACCTTGTCGAACCAGCCTGCCGGACCTCGCCCCCGAGGTAGGCGGCCGCATCTGCTCCCCCGCCCGCCTGCTCCACCCTCCAGTGCCGTTGGGTCGTCAGGAGCCTCCCTTTGGGTAGCCCTGTTTCTTTGTGTTCTTGAACGTAGCCCTGTCTTTCATTTTTGTTCATTGATTTCACCTGTGTTAGTTACTCACCTGGTCTCATCAGCTCCTTATTTAGTTCAGTTCATTCTGTTTGTGCCTTGTGAGGTATTGTTCATTTTTGACTCTACTAAACCTTTTCCAAGCTCGTTTGTGAGAACCAGTTATAGCCTTCAGTCCTAGTTTTGATTCACCTGCCTGTTTGCCTACCGGTGTATGACCATTGCCTGCTTGTGCCCACGATTCCTGCCTTCTGCGAAGGCGAAATAAACACCAGCTGCGCTCTGCGCGTGAATCTACACCTTTTTCATTACATCTATCATAATCCGTTCAAAAGTTATTGCGTTTTTACCCTTGTAGGAAGGCCAAAATTAGCCTGAATAAATCAATGGAGGCCAGAGAAGAAAAGTTGTAAAAAAATAAGGTGAATTACAATGCATTGTGTCAGCTAGGCTGGATGCTGTGCAATAATGAAGTACCTGACAGGCTCACTTTCCCATTGAACTCATCATCTTTCTTATCGAATCCGCAGGACATAAAACAATATAGAGGTAAGATATAAACTCAGCAAAAAAATAAACATCCCTTTTTCAGGACCCTGTCTTTCAAAGATAATTTAAAAAAATCCAAATAACATCACAGATCTTCATTGTAAAGGGTTTAAACACTGTTTCCCATGCTTGTTCAATGAACCATAAACAATTAATGAACATGCACCTGTGGAACGGTTGTTAAGACACTAACAGCTTACAGACGGTAGGCAATTAAGGTCACAGTTATGAAAACGTAGGACACTAAAGAGGCCTTTCTACTGACTCTGAAAAACACCAAAAGAAAGATGCCCAGGGTCCCTGATCATCTGCGTGAATGTGCCTTAGGCATGCTGCAAGGAGGCATGAGGACTGCAGATGTGGCCAGGGCAATAAATTGCAATGTCCGTACTGTGAGACGCCTAAGACAGCGCTACAGGGAGACAGGACGGACAGCTGATCGTCCTCGCAGTGGCAGACCACGTGTAACAACACCTGCATAGGATCGGTACATCCGAACATCACACCTGCGGGACAGGTACAGGATGGCAACAACAACTGCCCGAGTTACACCAGGACCGCACAATCCCTCCATCAGTGCTCAGACTGTCCACAATAGGCTGAGAGAGGCTGAACTGAGGGCTTGTAGGCCTGTTGTAAGGCAGGTCCTCACCAGACATCACCGGCAACAACGTCGCCTATGGGCACAAAACCACCGTCGCTGGACCTGACAGGACTGGCAAAAAGTGCTCTTCACTGACAAGTCACGGTTTTGTCTCACCAGGGGTGATGGTCGGATTCGCGTTTATTGTCGAAGGAATGAGCGTTACACCGAGGCCTGTACTCTGGAGCGGGATCGATTTGGAGGTGGAGGGTCCGTCATGGTCTTGGGCGGTGTTTCACAGCATCATCGGACTGAGCTTGTTGTCATTGCAGGCAATCTCAACGCTGTGCGTTACAGGGAAGACATCCTCCTCCCTCATGTGGTACCCTTCCTGCAGGCTCATCCTGACATGACCCGCCAGCATGACAATGCCACCAGCCATACTGCTCGTTCTGTGCGTGATTTCCTGCAAGACAGGAATGTCAGTGTTCTGCTATGGCCAGCGAAGAGCCCGGATCTCAATCCCATTGAGCACGTCTGGGACCTGTTGGATCGGAGGGTGAGGGCTAGGGCCATTCCCCCCAGAAATGTCCGGGAACTTGCAGGTGCCTTGGTGGAAGAGTGGGGTAACATCTCACAGCAAGAACTGGCAAATCTGGTGCAGTCCATGAGGAGGAGATGCATTGCAGTGCTTAATGCAGCTGGTGGCCACACTAGATACTGACTGTTACTTTTGATTTTGACCCCCCCTTTGTTCAGGGACACATTATTCAATTTCTGTTAGTCACATGTCTGTGGAACTTGTTCAGTTTATGTGTCAGTTGTTGAATGTTATGTTCATACAAATATTTACACGTTAAGTTTGCTGAAAATAAACGCAGTTGACAGTGAGAGGGTGTTTATTTTTTTGCTGAGTTTATATATTTTTTTCTAGCTCCTCAACAGTCAGAACCCCACCTTGGGCCAGCCTCCTCAGGACTGGGACCCTCAACACTTCTGGGAGGACGTTTGTCTGCGCCTCTTCTCCAGGTAATCATCTTGACCCAAATTATACAGTTCACACTCTCTTTTGAGATTATTTTTGCTGAACTGCTCGTATAGTTTAAAACAATATTAATTTAATACAAACTATCTGATCTCTCTGTGTTTTAGTGCTGATGGTCAACAGATGGAGTTCCATGGTTCTGAGCTGACCAGCCTGTGTCTCCTGGCCCTGGCGAGGGACGAGAGGCTCCTGTTGAGCCCCAATCTGGACCCTCCTGGCCTGAAGGCCCTGTCCTCCCCCACGGCCTGGTGCTGGTAGCAGTAGCAGGGACCATACACAGAGACACTGTCTGTCTGGGAGTCTATGAACAGGTGTTTGGCCTTATCCGCTCCCCACTAGAACAGAACAGCTGGAAGATCAAGTTTGTCAACCTGAAGATCAGGGGGCAGGATGCCCTGGAAGGAGCAGAGGAACTGGCCTCGCCTGCGCTGACCTGTAGCTCCACTGAACTACAGCTGCTCTGCAGATGATCAGGGACCTGGGGTGCATGCCAATATTCTAAGTGTCTTCCTCTCCTCTTCTTCATCTGCACTGTTTCGAAAGAACTTGACAAGTGAAAGTAGATTGCTGGTGTAGCCATCAACCATATTGCTTTCACCTATCCTGGGTTTTTAGGTCAATGCAGATGAAGGAGAGGAGACGAGGAGAGAGCCACTTCAGATTATTGAGATCCACACCTGGTGTCACCAAGATCAGGGCTCTGCTCTGTAGACAATAAGGGAGTGGTGGTTAGAGATATGCTTGTGAGAGACGTGAGAATGAAAGCCAAAGTGCACTCAATACATTATGCAAGTAATGTAATTGTCATGATGGGGTAAACATACATTTTATGCTTTGTTTTCTTCAACAATACTATAAAGTGAGTTATTATTTACTGCTGCATCAAGAAGACAAATACATTTAAAATGTTGCTATTAATACAGTATTCCAGGATATGTTTCAACGTGACCAAGACAAAGGAGATGATTGTGGACTACAGGAAAAAAAAGAGGACTGAGCACGCCCCCATTCTCATCAACGGGGCTGTAGTGGAACAGGTTGAGAGCTTCAAGTTCCTTGGTGTCCACATCACCAACGAACTATCATGGTCCAAACACACCAAGACAGTCGTGAAGAGGGCACGACAAAGCCTATTCCCCCTCAGGAGACTGAAAAGATTTGGCATGGGTCCTCAGATCCTCAAAAAATTCTACAGCTGCACCATCGAGAGCATCCTGACTGGTTGCATCACCACCTGGTATGGCAACTGCTTGGCCTCCGACCGCAAGGCACTACAGAGGGTAGTGCGTACGGCCCAGTACATCACTGGGGCCAAGCTTCCTGCCATCCAGGACCTCTATACCAGGCGGTGTCAGAGGAAGGCCCTCAAAATTGTCAAAGACTCCAGCCACCCTAGTCATAGACTGTTCTCTCTGCTACCGCACGGCAAGCGGTACCGGAGTGCCAAGTCTAGATCCAAAAGACTTCTCAACAGCTTCTACCCCCAAGCCATAAGACTCCTGAACAGCTAATCATGGCTACCTGGACTATTTGCACTGCCATCTTTTTCAATTATTTATGCATAGTCACTTTAACTCTACCCACATGTACATATTACTTCAACTACCTCAACTAGCCGGTGCCCCCGCACATTGACTCTGCACCGGTACCCCCCTGTATATATAGCCTCCCTACTGTTATTTTATTTTACTTCTGCTCTTTTTTTCTCAACACTTTTTTGTTGTTTTATTCTACTTTTTTATTAAAAATAAATGCACTGTTGGTTAAGGGCTGTAAGTAAGCATTTCACTGTAATGTCTGCACCTGTTGTATTCGGCGCATGTGGCCAATAAAATTTTATTTTATTTGATGTTTTGGTTTACTCTCCATGTAATGGGAAAAGCTTTCTTGGTTGGTGCAGGAATGTGTGGTATCCACGATTCTTCTGTTCTCTCATTTGAGCTGTTTTCCCCTCAATGACCTGGGATCTGTGCCTGATCTAAAATAGTCTATAAGCAAGCAGAAGCATGCCTCTATCATTTGTAACTGTATTATATTTTAAATATGTATTATACCTGTACGAAAAAGAAATACAATTTCTGGTGTACTGTTTGCTTCACTCTGTAGCACCTGTTATGTATATAATCATAATATTAACTGTATTGATCTTGATCAGGTATGTGACTTATTTAGCTAGTCCTATACGGTCTCTTTCTTTCTCATGTGCTTTATGTTACCTTTCCTGCCTCGCCTCCAGACCGTAGTCCAGGGCCAGCGCAATGTATGCTCTGGGGTAATTCCCACATTTGGGGATCTTATCCGCTGCTAATGACGAGTTAGTCTGGAATTTCACTGAAGTAGTTGACATTTATTAAACTTTTACACCATGTGAGGTAGTCTGTACTGGGCTAACGGAGCAAAAAGAGCGTGGCTCACAGTTCGGCTACATCTATGCCACCACAACAATTGCATCAAAAACGAAAGTTAACTTACTACGTTACCCATAATGCACTTTAGTGTTTCAAAGCTATACCCCTACTTTACCAACATTTATATAGGCTTAAATTCCACCGAAGTTGCATAACTTTTCAACATTTTGTACAATAATTGTGCAGTAGTAGACCACCAATACATTGGTTAATAAACCAAATATTTAGCGTTTTGTACAGAGGTTACCATGGTTTCTTATTTTCGGAATTGAAACTGAAAGTTCCTAGATATGCTCTGTTGAAACGGAAATGGTTAGATTGTCATTACTGCTGGCATGATCTGACAGCAAGTTGCTACGAAAAGTTTAAGCACCCATTTCTGATTTTAAATTAGCTCTTTAGTTTTGAAGATGTCAAGATTGAATTACAAGGAGAGATATGGTTGCAGACAGCTTTTGGGGATGATGACAGAGGATGACATATCCTCACTTCGATTTACTGTCACTAATAAAAAGACAGATCTTTTCGAGACCACATCAGGTAGGGTCGGGAGTAAAGTTTTTTTAAAAGCTAGAATCCTTAGTTGCTACATCCATATTTGGATTTATAAATTAATAATATATACCCATTGATTCTTGAAGAATATAACTTATAAATGTCTCATGAGCTTTAGTTCAGCAGTTGTACCCCATCAGAAACCAAAGTATAAGCTTGTTTTACTCTAATGTTTGTAAACAATGTAAACGGAAACAAACATTGTATAGCCTAAAAAATATATAATTTTAATATCATGGATGGTCAGTCGTTGCATCCATAGATCTGAATTTGTGAGTGGTTACATTTCTCCAGGGCCATCCCTCAGCTTTTTACCAAAACAGAAGTGGGGTGTCCGATTTGTATTTCTTTCATTTAAGGATTCAAGCTTTAAAAACATCTGTATTAAAACATGTGAATACATTGTTATACAATTAGTTAATTTAGCCTGCAATGCAAAGTTTTAGATCATGTGGATAAAATGTAATTGCAAATAAACAAAAAGTGCACCTTCTTAGCTCCATGTATTAAAGGTAGACCCAGCAATATCATCATAGCAGGGTGACTATTTGCAGACATCAACATCAACAACAGAATTCATGTACATGCCATTGCCAAGATTGCCAGACAGTTCTTGTGCCCTACCTTGAGGCATACCCTATACTCACATCACCAGATAAATCATGTTTGATGACTTTCAAACCATGGGTGTATTCAGAATTTGTCGTGTTGTAAAAAAGTATTTCCATAATTTACCAATGAATATCCAGTGGTGGTGTGAAAAGCTTTATCTGTAATTATGCTGCTCAGAAATATGATATCTCATTAGAGTCCTTGGGTCGTATGCTTATGTTACAGAATCAATTGATGCCATCCTTTCAAACACAGAGAATGCAGAGGCATTCCTGAAACGCAGGAAAGTTCAACGTGACTTCATATTCAGATACCTGACGGAGGACGAGGGGGTTGTGATACCCAAAAACAGCAACAAAGACCAGCTAGTGAAGAAGGCTCTTGAGGTCTGGACTATTGAGAAGGTATTTTTGGAGCAGATACATTTGGACACGTAGGGAACTAAGAGATAAGGTAAATAAACCAGTTTCTATTGTCTCAATTATCCTCAGGTGCGTCCACAAGCTTATAAAGATGTCTCCTTCAGTGCTTTAACAAGAGCAGCAAATTCTCAGATCGGATTTAGGCTTCAAACAGCACATGTCCCCCCTCAACCTGTCTACTCTAAGCCAATCTACACATCCCAGGTAATAATAATATCAATCCTAATTCTATGGCAAGAAGGCATGCAGTGTAGAAAGTAATTTCGCTTCAGTTCTTGATAATGCGAAGCTTTGGCCAGAACAGTTATTCTGTTTTTTAAAGAGATATGTTCTTGTCTGTAGATGTCGGACCTTCAAAGCCCAGCAACTGAGACCAATCCAGGACCAGCTATGACTAATGTGAGACAAATTGAGACCAGTTTCAGACCAATTGGTCTGAGAACAAGTGAGAGTGTCTCTGTTTCCTCTGAGGCGACATACAGTGCTGGCTTTGACCACCTGACCTTGGCCAGACAGTTTTGTCAGTGGTTCTTCCAGCTTCTCAACAGTCTGAACCCCTCCCTGGGCCAGCCTCCTCAGGAGTGGGGACCACAACACTTCTGGGAGGATGTGAGGCTACGTCTCCTCTCCAGCGCCGGAGAGCAGTATACAGAGGAGTACGAAGGAGCAGAGATGGTCAGCCTGCGTCTCCTGGCCCTGGCGAGGGACGAGAGGCTACTGTTGAGCCCCAACCTGGAGCCTGGTGGCCTGAAGGCCCTGTCCTCCCCCCACGGCCTGGTGCTGGTGGCTGTGGCAGGGACCATCCACAGAGACAGAGAATGTGTGGGCATTTATGAGCAGGTGTTTGGCCTGATATGCTCCCCACTGGACCAGAACAAATGGAAGATCAAGTTCATGGTCATGAAGATGAGGGGCCAGGAGGCTCTCAGGGCGGGAGAGATGCTGCTGTCTCCAATATTAACATGGGATTCCAACGACCTGCAGCTCCTCTGTAGATGATGGGGGACCTGGTGTGATCGTCAGCAGGGGTCTTCAACCGAGGGTCCGCAGGTCTGGATCCTAACTATGGAGACATTTTAAGTTTCATCTTTATATAATGTACAGTGAATGGATTTTCATGTAATGCTTCATAAGTAGCCTACTTCTAGGTTTACTCATTGTCAGGAAATTACTATTTAACTATTCTCTAGTTTGGCACATTTCCCCCCCAGCTAATCAATCATGATACTGTAATTGACCTCAGTAACCTCTGATCTATTTATTAGAATTATTTGTAACCTTTATTTAGGCAGGGAGTCCCATTGAGACCAAAATCTTTTTCAAAGGAGCCCTGCATAGATACACCTTTTATATTATACAGTGGGGGAAAAAAAGTATTTAGTCAGCCACCAATTGTGCAAGTTCTCCCACTTAAAAAGATGAGAGAGGCCTGTAATTTTCATCATAGGTACACGTCAACTTTGACAGACAAATTGAGAAAAGAAAATCCAGAAAATCCCATTGTAGGATTTTTAATGAATTTATTTGCAAATTATGGTGGAAAATAATTATTTGGTCACCTACAAACAAGCAAGATTTCTGGCTCTCACAGACCTGTAACTTCTTCTTTAAGAGGCTCCTATGTCCTCCACTCGTTACCTGTATTAATGGCACCTGTTTGAACTTGTTATCAGAATAAAAGACACCTGTCCACAACCTCAAACAGTCACACTCCAAACTCCACTATGGCCAAGACCAAAGAGCTGTCAAAGGACACCAGAAACAAAATTGTAGACCTGCACCAGGCTGGGAAGACTGAATCTGCAATAGGTAAGCAGCTTGGTTTGAAGAAATCAACTGTGGGAGCAATTATTAGGAAATGGAAGACATACAAGACCACTGATAATCTCCCTCGATCTGGGGCTCCACGCAAGATCTCACTTCGTGGGGTCAAAATGATCACAAGAACGGTGAGCAAAAATCCCAGAACCACATGGGGGGACCTAGTGAATGACCTGCAGAGAGCTGGGACCAAAGTAACAAAGCCTACCATCAGTAACACACTACGCCGCCAGGGACTCAAATCCTGCAGTGCCAGACGTGTCCCCCTGCTTAAGCCAGTACATGTCCAGGCCCGTCTGAAGTTTGCTAGAGTGCATTTGGATGATCCAGAAGAGGATTGGGAGAATGTCATATGGTCAGATGAAACCAAAATATAACTTTTTGGTAAAAACTCAACTCGTCGTGTTTGGAGGACAAAGAATTCTGAGTTGCATCCAAAGAACACCATACCTACTGTGAAGCATGGGGGTGGAAACATCATGCTTTGGGGCTGTTTTTCTGTAAAGGGACCAGGATGACTGATCCGTGTAAAGGAAAGAATGAATGGGGCCATGTATCGTGAGATTTTGAGTGAAAACCTCCTTCCATCAGCAAGGGCATTGAAGATGAAACGTGGCTGGGTCTTTCAGCATGACAATGATCCCAAACACACCGCCCGGGCAACGAAGGAGTGGCTTCGTAAGAAGCATTTCAAGGTCCTGGAGTGGCCTAGCCAGTCTCCAGATCTCAACCCCATACAAAATCTTTGGAGGGAGTTGAAAGTCCGTGGTGCCCAGCGACAGCCCTAAAACATCACTGCTCTAGAGGAGATCTGCATGGAGGAATGGGCCAAAATACCAGCAACAGTGTGTGAAAACCTTGTGAAGACTTACAGAAAACGTTTGACCTGTGTCATTGCCAACAAAGGGTATATAACAAAGTATTGAGAAACTTTTGTTATTGACCAAATACTTATTTTCCACCATAATTTGCAAATAAATTCATAAAAAATCCTACAATGTGATTTTCTGGAAAAAAAATTCTCATTTTGTCTGTCATAGTTGACGTGTACCTATGATGAAAATTACAGGCCTCTCTCATCTTTTTAAGTGGGAGAACTTGCACAATTGGTGGCTGACTAAATACTTTTTCCCCCCCACTGTATCTACAAATTCCAAAGGCCACCACTCCCTTTGGAGTGTAGCCCATAGGCCTGGCTCTGTGTGGTGGGGTAGAGAATGCAGCAGTGACTCTGGGATTTTGGTGGGAAATGTTACATGTGGGTTATTCTTGGTATTCCCTGCAAAGGAACTGATCTAGTTCGTATCTGTCTCTGTAGGCCGGGGCTCTGCGCTTTACTGGGCCATATTTGTGGCAGAGGAAACCACCACAGCCTTTGATCTCTGGCTGTTGACCTCACAGAAAGAATAATAACAATTGGTCTGAAACTGGTCTCCTGCCTTTATGGCACTTGGCTTCCCTCCATTTAATAAGCGGTTTGGCCCATGGCACGGCTCTGACGCAGAGCTTAAAACATCCTCCTCCAAAACTACACATATTTGGTTAGTAGAGACCCTACTGAGTATTTCCCACCCAACTTTAGCTGAGACAGGTGGAAAAGTTCTCTCTACAGCCCAATATTCTCAACATACCAGTATCAACATAGTTTAACAATATATATTATTAGTCTTTAAAAAAGTTTTTAAAGCCATATTTTTTATTTGTTTTCATAAATTACTTATAGCCTTTTCTTGTTGGCATAAAAAAAGTGTCCATTGATAAAAAGTCCAGATCTTTTAAATGAGTTATCCACATCGCAATGTTTTGAAATGCTGGCTTTTATTTAGAAGGTTTCCTCATTACCATACGAACATGATGTCATCATTTGTGCTGCTGGCAGTTGCTACGTAAAGTTTCAGCACCCATTAGGAGCGTGGTGCCACTTTCTGTACACAGGATTCGAGTCTCCAGAGGCCCGTCCGGTCCCCTGGTAGTGGCTTCATTCGCACCGTTTCACCCACCCTGAGCTCAGGTAAGTATTTTGCTGATTTGTCGTAGATGAACTTGGAGACCTGTCTTCTGTGACGTAGCTTCACCAGCACGTCTGTCACCAGCTCTGCTACTGGCAGAGCTGCTTTTAAACGCCGTGCCATGAGGCGCTGGGCCGGGCTGCTATCCATGCCTTCTGTCGGGGTATTACGCCATTGCAGGATTGCTTTCCAGGCATCTTTGCCCTCTCGCAGAGCTTTTTTGCAGAGGTTCTTTGCGATTTTGACTGCCGACTCAGCCTTCCCATTAGCTTTTGGGTGTCGTGGTGATGAAGTGACGAGCTCTAATTCCCATTCTGCAGCAAATTTTCGGAACTCACATCCGGAGAATTGGGGTCCATTATCTGAAATTACCCTATCTGGCTGGCCATAGCGGGCAAACTGAGCCTTGCAGCGTTTGATCGTTGTCTCTGCTGAGAGGTCGGGGAGGAGGTCAATCTCCCAGAAGTCTGAGTAATGATCAAATACCAGCAGAAAGTCTTTGCCACTGTGCTGGAAGAGATCTAGACTTACTATCTGCCAGGGGCGCATTGGTAGCTCGTGGGACATCATCGTCTCTCTCTGTTGCTCAATGGCATATTCATTGCAGATTGTGCATTTACTGACATAGTCTTTGATTTCACTCTGCATTCCTGGCCAATATAGTGTGTCACGTGCTTGTCTGTAACAGGCCTCACCTCCTATGTGACTTGAGTGCACGCGTGCCAACATCTCAGGGCGCAGAGACCGGGGAATAACGACTCTCTGACCCTTGAATATTACTCCGTTTTGAACACTGAGCTCTTCTTTGACTGGCCAATATTCTCTGATGGCTAAAGCAGTTTCTTCCTTGCAGTCGGGCCAGCCCATCAGAATCACAGACCTCAATGCCTGGAGTTGCTCGTCCCTGTCTGTGTGCTGTCTGATTTGTATAAGGCGCTGGTCCGTAACATTGAGGTGGTCAGCCTGGTTGATGTGTTCAACATCCACTTGCTCTGTTTGTAAGCTGCACACTGCGTGTTGTTCATGCATGGAGCGTGTGTGAGTGCCTGATGCAGTAGCCCTGCTGAGCGTGTCACTCACATACATCTCTGGCCCTGGCTTATACACCACCTTGAGGTTGTAGTTTTGTAGGGCCAGTAGCATGCTCTGCAGTCGTTTTGGGGCATTCAGGAGAGGCTTGCTGAATATAGCAATAAGGGGCTTGTGATCTGTCTCTGCGGTAATATTGTCACGCCCGTACAGGTAGTGGTGGAAGCGTTGGCATGCAAACACAATACTGAGGCACTCCTTCTCTATCTGGGCATAGTTCTGCTCTGTTGGAGTGAGTGCCCTAGAGGCGAATGCCACAGGCTGGCCCTCTTGCATGAGGCAACAGCCCAGTCCATACTGGCTTGAGTCACTCTGAATCGTGACAGGTTTTGACACATCGTAGTATCGCAGTACAGGTGTCTGGGTGACCAGTTGTTTTATTTCCCTCACCGCTGTGTCATGTTTTGGGAGCCAATGCCAGATGGTGTCCTTGTCCATGAGCCTCCTTAGTGGTTCACACACTTCAGAGAGCCACGGTAGGAACTTGGCCAGGTAGGTGACGAATCCGACGAAGCGCTGCACTGCCTTCACGTCAGATGGGTGGGGCATATCCAAGACAGCCTTCACTTTTTCTGGATCCGCCTTCAATCCGGTGGAGGACAAGATGTGCCCATGAAAGCGAACCTCTGGCACTTTAAACTGAAGCTTTTTTATGCTTAGCCTTAGCTTGACCTGTCTGCATCTGACCATCAGGGCCAGCAGCTTGGCGTCATGGTCACATTCTGCCTCCTCATCACTGTCCCCACAGCCCACTACGAGGATGTCATCTGCTATGGGTTCCACGCCGCTGAGTCCCATCAACAGCTCGTGCTGTTTCCGCTGATACACCTCTGGAGCCACGGAGACACCAAGCGGGAGCTTCAACCACCTCTTCCTGCCCCAGGGTGTCCAAAAGGTGGTCATGTAGCTGCTAGGCTCGTCAAGCTTGCACTGCAGGAAGGCATCTCTGGCGTCCACGAGCGTGAAGACTCTGGCCTTTGGGAGCTTGTAAAGAACATCCTCCAACGTGGGCATAATGTAATGTGAATGTCTCAGAGCCCGGTTGAGGTGTTTAGGATCCATGCATATCCGTAGCTTGTC